CATCTCGGTACCAATTGGCAGTGCGGAATGAATACACTTACCACCTTGGTAAGGTTGGAGGCCTATCTAAACCCCTGAGGTACTATGGGTCCGGCGCCCGGTTGCAATGCAACTCTACATCGAGCCACACGACTCTCCCAGAATTTGGGTTTAAACCACAGCCACCACGATACTCCCCGTAGGGCCAAACCGAACAAGCAGATTGGAGCAAGCCCCATGGGCAACTGCTCCCCGTGGTGCCAGAATTAAGTCTCCGGTCAGACCTCGTAGCCGTAACTACTCCCAGTTGAGTTTCCATGCCACTCTGGACTGGTCGCCCCACCCATCAATTTACTCCTTAACTAATTGCACGCATTCATTCTGGAATCGTCGCTATGCGCACCACATGCACTACTTTCCGAATCACAAAGATTTCGGCTATGCAAAAATGCGTTAAATGGCCCATGTCCGTTCGGAAGAAAACCCAGACTGAGACAAAATCTGAAATCCGGGTTTTCACGGACAAAATTAACGTCACGAATATACCCAATGTCACCCGACCGTTGGAACTATTGTCCCAGCGTTCCTGCCACTTCCTTAAGACCGTCTCCCACAAGGAGCGCTTACACTCCAAATACCCTCTCTCCAAGTCAGCATCCGAAATCCACCCATCCAACAACGGCATCTACATGCCCCTTCTTAATCGTAAAGCCATAGAGCGCTCTGTAACCACCAAATCAAGAGGAGGCACCCCCAAGAGCACCTGCAGCTCATCAGTGGAAACTGTGCAACATACCGGCAGACAAGACAGCAGCATTACCCTCTGGCAGGACAAAATCTTTTTGCGATCCACAACCGTCATAACAGATTCATACCAAACGGCAGAACCATAAGTGGCACAAGCCACAAACAGGCCCTGATATATGGTACGAAAAGCAAGTCGGCATAGGCCCCAGTCAGACCTCAAAATGTAACGTTCCTGACCCACAACACCAAGAATTCGCAGCTTAAGGCGCACAAAATGCAAACCACAGTTCATCTGCTCGCCCATCAACAGCCCCAAGTATTTGACTTGCGTCTCGTACCTGAGACTGGTTCCGTTTAAGCGGATTACCGGCGGGCGACCCTGCAACAATTTTCCCTTCAGGAGATCATCACTGTCTTCTCTACCGACACATCAACACCCACATCCGCACCCCATGCACTTACCACGCCGAGCAGCTGATTTCCCTTCAGCTCTATTGCAACCCTCGACTGCCCCCCTACTAAGATGAAGAGGTTAGCATCATGAGGTTCCAAATAAATGGACCACAAATGGAACCCTGAGGACAACCGCGAGCATCCTAAACCTCAAGTCTACCCCCCTCCCTAACTAAAGCGGCTCTCCTGCGAGAGAAGTAGCTACGCCATAAAGCCAACTCTGGACACCAAAGTCTCTCTAGCAGCTCAATGACCCTATCCCAACGTAAATAGTCGAACGCCCCCTTAAAATAAACGAATATGACAAGAACATACCTACAGGTACAATTCTTGCACACCCTTTGACGTTAAGTCAAGCATCCTCAATACTGCGCGCTTTCCTGAACCCATACTGCCTATCCGACATACTACCCCCAGTAAGCTCCTGAAGCCTTTGACCCGTTCCAGCACTTTTCCAAGCACTGAAAGGAGACTGATGCCCCGATAAGATCGAGGATCACTCCTGACCTTATCGGGCGACTTCAGAAGAAGAACAACCCTAGCTACTTTCCACTCACGTGGAAAATATCCTTCACACATACATTTCATAGAAAGCCTCCAAGTGCCACAAACATTTGCACATCTCTCCGTTGAAACCATCAAAACCCGGTAACGTTCCAGACCTTACCAGGTCAAATGCATACGCCAACTCCCCAACATTTAGTGGAGGGACATGTGCTTCTGCTTGAGGAACCTGCACTTCCGTACCAGGAAAGAACGCACCAAACAAGACCCCCGCACACTCCCTCCACGTTGTTAACACGGAGCCACCAACGCGAAGAGAGGGGATCTCCTCACTTCAAGGGTCGTCCCTATTTTCCCACACAAACCTTCTCCACTCTTCCCCCTTCACCCGTATAAGCATCTCCTTATACTCCCTCATTTGCCGTGAAAACAGCAATCTAGCTTGAGCTAGACCCCATACGTCGTTCCCGCTGAAACCGTCGCCTAAATCGACGGACGGACTCTCGTTTCTCACTGAGCTGCTCCGACCACCATTTGACCCGCTTTAGTTGCCCCCGTTCCAACTTCTTCAAAACCCTGTCATTAACCCCCAAACAATGCCATTTAGACAAACAATTTGTTTGTCTACACCCATTTCCTCGAATAGCCCCAGTGGTATTGCTAATACCGCCTCCCTTACCCTGTTCCCATATTGCTCCCAGTTGACACCATTTGTACGCCACCTTCTCATCTGGTACCCAACCCTACGGCCAGGGGGGAGAGAGTGGAGTAATCTCAATCTGTATAGGATTGTGATCACTTACACCCCATCCTCCCTTGACTTCCCACCAAATCGGAACGTCTGCATCCCAGCCCTGTTCACCAAAGTTAGGTCAATGTCGCTGGCACCCATCGGCCCATCAAACGTGTACCACTCACTAGGTATATTGACAACGTCAACGCCACTGGACATCACGCACTCACCTAATACTTCACCCCGCTGGCAGCTTTGATATCCAGACGAATGCCGGGATTTCTTGCTGAACCACATCGTGGAAGAAGCATTCGCGTCTAAGCCAATGACCACCGGCGTGCTACTCGCTAGTGGTAGCACGGTGTCAAGATACCTAATATATGGCTCCAGAGGCACGCTGAATTTGCAGTACAGGCAAGCAACAAACAAACGCCCAAACTCTCCCTCCAACCCCACAATTACCCCCCAATCAGACGAGTCTACCACAACTCATCCGCAGCTGGACTCACTCACCACCACCGCGGCATTGACCCTATGGTCAGCAATTACCTTAAATCCTCCCCCTATGGCAAACTTCCTTTTTTGCCTTACATTCTTACACCCTATGGTCAAAACTCATGGACCGGAAACAGCTCTGCACGAGGGTGTCCGGTCTCACCCTGAAAGAGTACCACTTTACGTAGCAACGACCTGCTTCCAAGAGGACGGACATTAATTTGTCCGATCCCTCAAAAGAAGAACATTAGTTGCACTGTCATGAGCCACCTTCCAGGGTCGGCTGACCATCCTCACCTCCTTTCCCATGCACCCAGTACTGAACTCTTGCAAGTTCAGTCTATACAGCTTCTACATAAATTCATCCGCATATATCTCCTTGTGCACTCCTTGAACCACTACTCTTGCAACCGAAGGTGTACGCAATATCAGCTCACCAGAAAGCAAAGCCTTTACCTCATGCAGTCTTACGCCTAAAACCGGCCCAATCTCCTTCATTACCTGCTCGGCTACCTCCTTCGAGGACTTTTCCCCAGTCTTGCTCTTTACCACGCCCGACCACGTATGCACAGGTTTGGCAACTATCGGTGCAGGCATCAACGGCACAGTCGCCAAAGGCGCAGGCGTCAAGGGCACTGGCGCCAAGGGCGCCAGCATCGACACCGACCCAACCATAAGAGCAGGGGCACCTTTGGGGAGCATCGCCCTTCCTGGCACTCAACCCCTGTACCTGGCCACGTAACCTAGCGTTCTCTACTATGGCTGCCATTAACAGCTCCTAATATCCCGAAGATATATCCACCAGCGTTTTATGTGAAACATAAGTTGTCTCCATTTTTCTCACATACTCCTCCGAAACAAACGCGTAAATGTGAAACATAAGGTGTCTCCGTCTTTCCCACGTCATCCGCCATATTTATCCTAACATTTTCTTAAATTCCTGCGAAATGCCACGTCTTGACATATTTACGCGCAAATGCGTACATATATATGTACGCTTACACTAGGCTGCACCTAACATGAACACCTTGTTACCACTTCTTGTAACCACAAATCTAGGTACCCTGGTAACGTTTTAATTTATTCAGCATTTCAGCTATGAAGTCTTGTAGAAATTCTGTGGTTGCATACTTCATGGGGCAATATTTTGTTACCTGCTTATGAGATGGAAACGAAATTTACCGGTTACAAGAGTCCACAGAATGAAAAAAGAGTTAAAAAAAAGAGAGGAACTTTATTTTCCGGTAAAAAAAATTTGATTACCAACGCAGAATAGGTTAACGTTCGATTTTGTGTTTGAAGCTTTTCATGACAGTAAACAATATTTGTGTTACCAACGCAGAATAGGTCTGTATGTATACACTCACTTATACATGCTTCAGAGCTTTGCAATTATCAATAATGCAGAATAATTAAATTGTTTGAATTCATATATATGTCGCTCGAAGTATCTAGAGTCAACTGTAAACAAATCGTAGGCGCTCGGTTGACAAAAATTTTAAAATTTATGACCGAAGCTCGTGAAGGCCTTGTTGCCACATTAAATTAGTGGTTAAACCACTTATGTATGTGATTTTAGAACTTTTTCCTTAAGATCAAAATATCATGGGCCATTTATGCAAAAAATTTTGTTTTTTTTTTGTTTTTTGTTAAACTAAAATCTTAAGCAACTAATTAACGATATGAAAGTTTGAAGAAGTACTGCGATTAAAAAGTTTAGAGAAAAAATGTCTTAACTCGAGATAAGTTATTTCTCGATATTACTGCGGAGTAGCCATTTTTCATTTGGCTGGCTGTGATTTCTTCATTTTTACATTTTAGAATTTTTATGGCCCTCGCGAAGAAGTTGCGCTTGTGGGCGGTATGCGTTTGCGGGGAGATGTATGGCCATTGAATTTATGAATGAATGTGTTTGACCAAAGAACGTAAATCTATAAGAATAGACAACACGTTACAATTGTAGCGAGTGTTAACATCAGGAGCGTGTCTTCTCTTTTCATCCAATCAAAAAACGTATTTGGGCAAAAGAGAAGGCACGCTCCTGATGTTAACACTCGCTACAATTATAACGTGTTGTCTCTTCTTATAGATTTATGTTCTTTGGTTTGACCTTGAAGAATATGCGCATGCGTCTATGAATGAAATTTTTATTGTTGTGTTTTGGTCACGTATGTATATGCTTTTACATATGTACATATGTATGTATGTACGTACGCATATTTGAATGAATGTAGATATTTTTGGAGGGGATCGCATGAGTATATTTGTACAAATTAGTGTAAATTATTTATTGACTATAAATGTACATTTTTATGCGTAATTTCATTCATAATTACAACTTTAAAAGGTCAGGTATAGCGCATGCACTTAATTCACTTACATTTGCTTAAAATTATAAAATAAATTAATCTATGCACATGCGCATGCAAATTGTTAAATGCCTTCGGCAAATAAACAAAAAGAGTTGCGGTCATGTTTTTTGTCATTTCATTTCTTTATTTCTATCATCAATCACTTTTTCTCAACGTTCTTTGTCGCCGCGAATCCAAATGTGCGGCGAATTCATTTACGAAACTTGATGTCAAAACGGACGAGAATTCCCCTTGTAAACCTTCTAGACTCACGAGCCACACTTCAGCGTGTTATCTCTTCTTATAGACTTACATACGTTCTTTGTTATTGCTAAGACTTGCTACGATAAGTGCATGCCTTTCTGTTCCGAAAGAATTGAATTCGTGAAAAGACAAATATTTTCCATATAAATGATGCATGGATCCATGTTGCATAGAGATAAAATCTCCACTTTTACCCGCGCTTTTGAGAAATTTCTGAGGACAAAATTGCGAGCACTTAAGGCTGGTTTTCATTGGGTCAAAATCACTGACATCAAAAACTGCCTTCATCTGACAGCTGTTCATTTGATGTCAAATGCGTTTTCATTACATTTTAAAAACTGATCAAATGTCGATACCGCAGTGCATGTGAAAGACTGTCGACAAATTTCGGTGTCAGATGACTGACATTCCGTTTTCATTACTGATGTCAAATGTGATGTTAAATTTTTACAAAAAGTCTAGAATACCGACCGTTTAGCTATAGACAAACCAAAAATGTAATTAGATAGAACTTTTCATGCTGATTTTAACCTTACCAAAATTATTTAGCGCAAGTAAAAAATTAAGAAGGTATAGTGGGTTAAGTTAAATTTTTCGATATTTTGAAATATCAATATCCTATGAACTACATAACCGATTAAACAACTAATTATGTCAAAATAAAGATGATTACATCTTTCAGATGATGTACATAATTTTCTGATTTTTTATATTTTTGAGTCAGAAATACAAAAAAACAAAAAAAAATAATTTTTTCATTAAATTACCTTTTTTGAAGAAAATTGCTTAATTAATGCTACAGAAATTTATATTACTTAGAAAGTACAAGTTATTACCTTATATAGAAAGGTTTGTTATAGGGCAAAATTTAACGAAATTAGTGGAAAAAATCGAAATAGTATATATATTTTCTTTAAATATCGTTTACCAAAAATTTGTTTTAAAAAATGGTTATAGTAAATACGTCGTAAAAAAGCTATTAAAATTATCTTTGAATTGGATTCAATACTTTTCTAATCGGTCGAGTCGTTTCCGAGATATTTAAAATATAAGTAATTGGAAAGTTTAAGTTTAACCTGTTATATTTTCTTTGTTTTTTACTTGCCCCAAATAATTTGGGTATAGTTAAAATCAGCGTGAAAAGTTCTACCAATCTGCATTTTTGGTTTTTTTTTGTAGATAAACGGTCCGTATTGCAGCTAGAATCAGCTGGTCGCATGGCAAACGAAAACAAAGTTGCCAACATGTTGGCAAATACATTTTGGTTGTCAAATGCTGCCACATCAGCGGCGAGGGCCGTTTTCATTTGGATGTCATTTTATATGACCGTGCGTGGTAATATATGACAACAAACGCAAATTACACCAGATGGTAACCCGTTTTCATTATTTTGACATTTGGCGTCAAATATGACCTAATGAAAACCAGGCTTTAACTTTGTAACAATTTTTATTTTGATTTGTGCTAAATATTTGAATACAATTTTTTGCCACTAGAAGCAACAGCATTGCCTTTATCGGCACATATAGAAATTGTTGAGAAAGCTGGAGAAAAACCAACGCTTTAAATTTTTCAACTGTGAGCAATAAGCTTAAATTAGGTTTTAGCAAAAAACCGGGCTTTATTGTATTAAAAAATATTGTATGCTAAATTGAATGCGGTTATTGTTGTTGTTGTTGTTGTTGTTTTAGCCGCTACTAAGCCCCGCTTTGGGCGGTTCATCCATCAACGTTGTCGTCTATTTCAGCTAGGGGGAGGCGCAGGAAGTGTCTTACTTCCACAGGGGCTGTCCATAGGGACAGGGGCGTTAGCTGAGTGGGGTTCTCAGGGCATGTGAAGAGGTGCCGGGAGTCATGTGGCGACTCTCCACATGCCGGGAATTGGTTGGGCACATCCTCATTGATTCTGCTCAGGTAGCTGTTGAGCCTGCTGCAATAGCCAGAGCGAAGTTGGGCTATTGTAGTGCGGGTCTCCCGAGGCAGACAAAGTTCTGTCCCGTCCACGTCCGGTGGTTGTGTGCCTAGAACGGCATTCACAGGGCGGGAGTCTACATAACTTGAGACTGATTCCCTGTGAATGCCGTTCAGGGCCTGTCGGTAGGTTGACGGGTCCAGAGGTTGTTTGATATACCTCTGGAATTCGTCTGTCAATTCGTAAAGATGCCTCCTGACGTGCCGTGGCGAGGGCTCTTCCGCGAGCTGTTGCCCGCTGGGATGGCCACGTCTGTGGCTCCCAGTGAGGAACTGCTTGCAGAGCATTATGTTATGCTCCTTTACTGGGAGCATCTGGGCCTCGTCATGAAGGTGGTGTTGAGGCGTCATCAGGAGACATCCTGTCGCAGTTCGTAATGTCGTGTTTTGGCAGGTCTGAACCTTCATCCACAGCTTTCAGCTAGTCTCCGGCGACCATACGGGAGCTGCGTAGTTTAGAACCGGCCGGCCAATTTCCTTGTATGTTGCCAACAACGTTTCTTTATCTTTGCCCCAAGTGCTGCCGGCCAGCGACTTGAGGACATTGTTCCGGCTCTGTACTTTGTTGACAATTGCCGTTGTATGCGCCGAGAAGGAGAGCAGACTGTCGAAGGTAACTCCGAGAATTTTCGGGTTATTCACCGGCGGTATTGTTACGCCATCGACGTGAATACCCAGTGGCAGTCTGACCTCCTTCGTCCAGGTGGTGAAAAGGGTTGCCGAGGATTTCGCAGGGGACAGGGCAAGGCTCCGTGCAGTAAAGAAGCGAGAAAGTTCGGAGAGGTAACCGTTTACTTTCGAGCACAAGTCCTCAATTCCATTCCCAGACGCCATGATCGAACAATCGTCAGCATACGAGACTATATTAACACCCTCTGGTGGCTGAGGAAGCTTTGATATGTAATAATTAAACAGTAGCGGGTAAAGGAAACCACTCTGTGGTACCCCCTGTTTAATTTTACGTGGCTTGCTAGTTTTGTTTCTGAAAATTACCGACGAGTGCGGTTATTCAAATCATCCGATTGAAAAATATATAGGCGCGTATTCATAGTCCACCCACTAAGTCGTATTTCAGACTTCTACTAAGTAGTTTTACGATATTGCAAAACGAGTGTGAAAATGTATCGATTTTTCTTTACGATATTTTGGAAAAATTACATTTTTACTAAATAATGTCAAGTTTGATCATCCTTTTATGCAATTTTTACTTTCATTGCATGTTTATCCAAAAGAATAAGGTATAAGTTTCTTGTTAATTGTTTGAAATAGCCAGAACTACCGCAATGATGGGAAGTCGATGTTTATCGAAAGCATGCTGTGAAACATACAAACACTTGTCTTAATTTTATGCACTAATTTGCTTCAAACGGCGTTTCCACAATAACCGAATCACGTGGTTCGCTCTCTCAATTAGAACGGCGAATCAACCTGTTTACACGACACATTCGTGNTATTCCAATTATAAATTTGTGATTTAGCTTTATTCGAATTGTAATACGCATTTAATTTGATCTTCCGAGTAAAATGGATCGATCTTTGTAAATATTTATTGGAGATTATTCAATATTATCAAAATCACCCTCTACCAACTTAATTTTTACATATTTCGTCTGTTTTCCCTTAATTTCATAAAATACTTCTTCCTAGTTACGACTTAGTTGCAACTGCAGCCGAAACTAAATTTTAAGTTGGTACTTAGCCAGAAAAGTCGAAACTAAGGCGACTATGAATAGCTTTAGTTGTGACTTAGAATAGTTTCCTCTTAGGGCCGTTTGCACCATGTCTAGTTAACGCTAACTGGAGGTACATCCTTCAGTTAAGCACGTTGACTGCTTTATCGATCACATGTTATATAATGGGTGTCGATAACGTCGATAAAGATGTTTAACTGGGAGTTAGAATTAACTAGACATGGTGCAAACGGCCCTTAGTTGAGTACTAAATATGACTATGAATATGCGCCTATGTGTTTTCACAGCCGTTATCGATAAAAATTAACATAAAATTAGAGTTGGCGCATATTCATAGTCACATTTAGTTCACAACTAAAAGCGCAAACAGTCAACGATGTAGCGTAGACGTAGGTTGACGCAGACACGATCTAGCTTATGGGATTCGTATGTTAACGAAAACTCACTACCGCATGGCGGTGACGTTGCCGTTGCTTCTCTCTCTCTATCAACTTGACATTATTTAGTAAAAATGTAATTTTTCCAAAATATCGTAAAGAAAAATCGATACAATTTCACACTCGTTTTGCAATATCGCAAAACTAAGTTAAAACTACTTAGTAGAAGTCTAAAACGCGACTATGAATAGAAATGAATTTGAAGTTGGTACTTTAATTTAAGTTGCAACTTTAGTAGTTTCGACTTAGTGGCTGGACTATGAATAGTCGCCTTTGTTTCCGTTTAAAGGAAAGATGTTGTTTTCGTATTTAAATTTACAAAGCTTTAGTTTGGTTTTTCACACTTCAAAACTGACAATTCCATGTTACATATGTGAGCATATGTGTTTACATGTAAACTAGATTTAATATTCGTATTAATCACA